CAGCGAGGCTCCAGCCCTGTGCACATGTGCAGCTGCATCGTCTCCAGCAGTAAAGATGCAGAGGGTTGAGCACAGTGAGGACCATGCTTTTACTGGACCACTGTGATTGACTTTTGTTCCATGAGGGCTGTTTCTACAAGCTTGCGATCATGCAGTAAACTTGACCTTGTTGTCCCTACCTGTTGGAATTTTCCTGTTTCAAAGCAGAAGCCACCTGCCCCCTCTCTCCAGATGCCTTTTTTAATGTTCAACAGCGTTGTTGCAGCAGTAGCCACCTGACTGTCTACTGTAATAGGAAAAAGTTCTAATGTTACAGATAAAGCAGCCATATAGATAAGGCACAGGCGTGTTTGATGGATTCCCTTTCTCCTGTGCAGCGGGTGTTAAGAGATAGGTTTCAGGCTTCACACCACTCCCTTTGGGCCTTTTCTCTGAACAGCACAGGGAAACTGTGCTCCAGTTGCCTGCTGATGAGCTCTATCTCCTGTGAGCTCTTCACCCATGGGGTAGTGGTCCCCTTGACATCCTTGCAGTATGCATCCCTCTTTGGCACCTGGGTGCCTCATAATTTGCTTGCCTTGTGATCCTGTGCATCTTCTGTCACGGATTTACCTGCAGAGGTTCCTCAGGAAAGGTCTGTGGGACCCAGGCAATGTCTTTTGATGCAGACCATAGATTTATCGGTGGTAAGTCAGGAAGGCAGTGCTCTCCTCCTCCATCAGGCTGCCCTTGCTGTAGCTCTCTGGTGTAGCTCTGGTCTCCTTGAACATTATGCTCTTCTCTCTTGTTTTAGGGCTGTCTGTGATATTATTCCTGCCTGGCTTCTCAGGGCAAGTGAAGATGGGATCAATCTGGCTTAAGGTCAACTCCCCAGCTAAGCAGTCTCTTCAGGAGAACAGCAGCCGTGAAGAGGGCTCTTGTGCTGAATATTGCCTGCTGCTGTCAGTGGGATTTCAGTGCCACAGCAAACCTGATGCTGTGAACAAATGGGTGAAAAAGAGGTTTCTTTTTAGAATTGGAACAGTGATATAATAATAAATATGTGGGGTTTGTGCAGGGTCTGCTTGCTGTATGTTTCTGAAATGCAAAGTGCATGTTTGTTAAAATACCTCTCCAAAGGTCAGCATAACCTAAGAAATAAATGTGCTGGCCTTTTGGAAAGCAGGTGAAGTTTCAGATGTGCGACAGGTACTTGCAGCTGAGAACATGGACCACCATAACCCAAATCTGTTTCAGCACTTCCCATGTGACACCATAAGGACGTGAATGGAAATGCTGCCTCACCAAAAGGATTTCTTTTGCAGGTTTCAGTGAGGAGCCCTACACCATCCTTAATCCTTCAGCTCAGCTTTTTCTTCCATTTTCTTGGCTTATTTCATATTTGCTGGAGCTCTGCTCATACGTTTGAGGGGCTTGTGCTGCAAGCATCATGTTTGCAGTTGGTGAGAATAGGGATGTAAAATGGAAAATTCTGGAATGAAAAGAAGCAAAATGCTGGATGGGACCTGTGGGCATGACAAACCCAATGGGTTTGTGTCCTGCTTGATGATGTAGCCAGCCTGCTGGCATGCTTACAGCCATCAGGGTTTGAAGTATTGGAGAACCTTATATTTTCTAATCCTTTTAGCTTCCTGCGAGGTGGAGGAATACTATTACTCTCTCTGAGGCAGGGAAGTGAGGCATAAAGAGAAGAAATTACTTGCTTAAAGCTTTGTAGGAATCTCATAGCTGAAAAGAAGAGTTGGCGTAGCTTTTAGCTGCCTGTCACGGCATCAGGCACCCTTGGGTAAGGTGATGTTTCTGCCACGATCTTGCCTGTCATTATCGCATGGATGGTCTTTTGGGCAGGAATATAGACAGGAGGTGTTGGGAGAAGTGGCAGAGGAACTGAAATGTGATCCAAACTATGGAAGCCGATCTGCAAATTAGGGCAATTCAAAGGCACAAACATCCTGTTGAGCTTGCTGAGTCCCCGCCAGAACATAATGAGTAAAGCACGCGCCCAAGCTCAGCTTCAGGCGTGTTTCAGTGGGAAAGCTCTGCCTCTGCTGCCTTGGGTTATGTCAGGTTTTATTCCTGGTGGCAACCGGCAGGTGTTCATGTGAGGGGGAATGGCATTATAAATAAATTATCCATTCATTTCCTTCTGGGGATTTTCCTATTGTTTCACCACAATATGCTTTCCTGTTTTCAAAAAAACTCCAAAACAAAACAAAGCCAAACCCTGGCCCCAAGTTCCTCTCTGGCAGGATGGACCCAAAGCTGTGTTTGAAGTGGGTGTCTGTGTCATTGCTCTTCTGGCAGTTGTGCTGCTGGCACTGTCACTCGCACCTCGGTCCCCTGTTCTTTCAGTGTGGGAAGTACCTGCCTGGGAGCTGTGATGGAGGCAATCACATCCTGCCGTGCTCTGTCTTTACACAGGTCTTTTCTCCAGCAGATCAATGTGGGAGGAAGGCTGATGCTGCCCAGAGAGTGGAAAGCAGGGGCTTCTTGCGATAGCAGAGAGGAGAACAAAAGTCCTCTTCCCTTCTTCCTCCTCCTGACCAACACAATGAGGCCAGGGAACTCACTTTCACAGGGAAGTTGTTTTACCCATTTTAGAAGAATAATGCAGCTCAGTGGATGGCTTCTCTACATAGTGAGGCTGTTGCCCAGCAGCACCCATCGGTAGCTTTGCTTAAGCCACGTCCCAGCTGGACAGCACAAAGGCTCAGTGAATCCAGATGTAAAACAGGGAGTTGGTGTGGGGAAGCGTGGCCAGGAGAGGATTCACCACTCACCTCTCAGGGTCACTCACCACTGCTACCTGCTGCCTGGGTTCATGCCCTCATGCCTCTCTCTGCTAAGGAAACCCCAAAGCCTGTTTCCTCTGCAGCAGCATCATTTGTTGGGAACGTTTCCAGGCAGACACATGGAGCAGCACCCACATGAGCTGCGGGTGGGTCTGTGCTGAGAGCAGCCATGTTCTGCATTTTAGCTCTTCAGAAGGCAAGAAATGAGATTTCTCCTGTGAATACCCAAGATAGGCACTCACATCTCATGTAGGCATGGCCAAGGCTGACCCCACAGACCCAGGAAACCCTCTCCTGCACTGGGAGAGCATGGGGGGAAGCCTGGCCAGCAACACTGCTGTGAGTGGAGGTGCTATGCTGGGCAGGGGGACTGCCCTGAGAGGATTTAACAGCCAAGGGGATCTTCTCTGCTCTCTTGTCTCCCCCAGGACTCTGCCTTCACGGCATGGAACTAGCAAACACCCCACTGGTGTAAGAACAAAGATGTATTTATTTACATCACTGTACAACAGGGTTAACCATTACCTTGTGCTACGCAATGATTGTCACGTGCAGTGTGAATGAAGAGATACAAAAGACCTTTTATTTAGCCACTGTGTTTGCCTGTCACAATTTAGTGTTGCCTTTTTTATCTTGATGTAAACAGGAGCTTTTTCTGCCTTTGTAGCTCTGACTCCTGTTGCAGATGCTTGATTTCAAGGGCTAAGCCTGTGTTCAGATCTTGCTTGCAACCCCTCTTGCATTCACGAAGGCAGCGGTTGCTCAGAGCTTCTAGTAGTTCAGACATGAATGCAAGTCCAGTGTCTTGCTGCCCTAGCTGGTATTTGCTTGCAATAAAAGGTGTGACAACTGCAGCTCTCCTTCCAGCTTTCCAGCTGAGCTCCTGGCATCTTCTGGTGTTTCTTCCCAAAAGAGAAAAGCATCAGAAAATCCTTCCCTTGTCACGATGCAAAGCCAGGGATTACACAGAGGAGGAAGCAGTTTGAAGCAAGGGCCAGGCAGACAGCTTCTAAAGCTTCAAATGTGGCAAAGCATTTCAGAATAAGTGTGTGCAGGTTTATATTTAACAGGATGACTTTGAGCACCCAGAGTGCCTTCCATTTTTGCTTTCAGAATCTGCAAAGAGGAGGAGTGGTAGAGGTGGGGAATGAGGAAATCAAAGTGCCTGTGATACTGTGGTGGTGGTCATGGGAGCCCTGGTCATTGAGCAAGACCCTGTGTGTCCAGGGTATGCAGAAGAGATTGCCTCCTCCTCAGGGGACTTATAGCTATAGCTTAAGATTAAAAGTTGAGCTTTTTTCATTTGTGCTTCACGCGTGTGTGAGCTTCACTTTAGGCCTCAAATCTGCTGCTCTTGAAATTGGTCTCAAAATTGTTATTGACTTTAAATGCTGCAAGATCTCACCCATAAATTCTTCTCCCATCTGCAAAATGGGGATGGCAGGATTTCTGTGCCATCTGTGGTGCTGTGAAGCTGAAAACAATCATCATTTATAAAGTGCTTTGAGCTCAAATGGGAGGTTCTGTGTAAAGGCAAGGTTTTGCAGGAGGAAGTGTTCCTTAATGTGCCAGTTGCATCTGATAGCTGAATCAGGGGCTGGGTTGGACGTTTTGGAAGAACAGTCTGGTGATGCAGAGGTAGTGTTCCAGCTGCTAAATGTCTTGGTTTATTTTTGTTCTTCAAAAGCTCCTGTTCATCATTACAAAATTAAGGGAGAGAGAATCCAGTGGCTGAATGTCCCACAAAAATCAGTATCCTACATCCATGCTCATTTTGAGCACCTCTGATCTTAACGGCCTCGAGTCTCAGTGTGTCTCTGGCCACCAGCTGGTGATTTAGCAGCACATGCCTTGCAAATAGGAAACTCGGAGCCACAGTCACAAGTGTTAAGCCTTTCTGAGTGCAATAGGATGCATCTGATGGGAACAAAAGGATGTTAATTTATACCCAGCTTTGCAGGGCATAGAAGGGAAGCTGCCTAACCTTTGCCTCCAGAGCTACATTTGCCTTATATTTGCATAAAGCTGAGGGCCCAGTTGCTGCAACAAAGAGCAGATTGTGGCCAAGCACAACAAGTTAAGATTAAATACTGATGTTCCCAGCGGGTAATGCAAAGCATGCGTGGCAAGCAGCAGTTGCCCAGGCTGAGCTAACATATGGCTCGGGTCAAACACTTCTAACGGAGCCGCTGGTTTCTCCTTTTGCAGACACAAGCCACCCGACCCGCTCTGTCTCCAGCCGCCCCTACTACAGCTTGCCCAACAGCAGCCATGAGAGACGCTCGGTCCTCGCTATCACGGAGCCGCCGCGTTTCCATTCCCAAGCCAAAGGCAAGAACGTGCGTCTGGATGCGCACTCCCGCAAGGCCACGCGGAGGAACAGTTTCTGCAACGGAGTCACCTTCACCAACCGGCCCATACACCTCTATGAGAAAGTCAGGCTGAAGCTGGTGGCTGTGCACCACGGCTGGAGCGGAGCCCTGCGCTTTGGCTTCACCATTCATGACCCATCGCAGATGAGCTCTGACGAGATACCAAAGTACGCCTGTCCAGACCTAGTGACCCGACCTGGATACTGGGCCAAAGCTTTGCCGGAGAGGTTTGCTGTGAGAGACAATATCTTGGCCTTCTGGGTTGACCGTCATGGGAGAGTCTTCTACAGTATTAATGATGAGGAGCCAATATTGTTTCACTGTGGTATTAAAGTTTCCGGCCCCCTCTGGGCACTCATAGATGTCTATGGAATTACCCATGAAGTGCAAATACTAGGTAAGTGTGTGTTTTGGCCCGTGGGTTGCTCTTCTGTTGGTTTTGTACCTCAAATTAACCATTTTTCTTTTGCCAGCAGTGGGGATCCAGAAAGTAATATATTTCAGAGATGTCAGTGATGGAAATCCCTAAGGCTGTGAGTCGTAGCAGTCACGTGAAGGGATAAATGGAAATCTTTACATGTAACTTTATCCAGCTTTTTCTGAGCTAAATATGGTGCTATGGCATGGAAAAACATGGTGCTGCTTTACAGCAAGGTCCCAGGGATTGAGGAGACAAAGGTGACCAGTTCTGGCTTCCCCTGTTCTTTCCCAGCTACCAGGTACTGTTAGTCTACTGGAAAATTACCACCCATTCCCCAAGAGCTTTGTGGTGCTTTTCCCCAGCCCCTTTCTCAGCCCTTGGCCTTGGTCCCTGCCTGGGCTGGCAGTTTAACAAGCTGTGTTTGCAGGTGAAACCCAACTTACCCTTCCCTTACACATGGGCATCTCTCTATGTCTGCAAAGCACTGACTGCAGCACAGGATACAGCCCACCAGCTGAAGTGTGATGAGAAAATGTAGTGTGAGCTCCTGTGTGCTTTGGGATCCTTGCCACCATGGGCCATATTTGCTCTCACCCCTAAGCAGATTGCTGCATTCAGGTGGTGCCTAGCTGATTTACAAGCACCATCCCTGGGGAAGGCTGCAGGAGGTGATGAATTTGTTCCCATCAGCAAACCGAGCCAATTGCCGTGGAATGACTTTCCTTTCATGACTTTTACAGCACTGAAGTTTCAAATGAATTCAGTGTCAGATGGAGTGTTTTGAACTGGTCTAAACCACAGGGAATCCTTTTAAAATACAAGAGTGCTGCCATTTCCCAGAGGCTCCAAGGAGCTGATTTAGTTTTAACAGCCAAACTACGCTGCACCTGCTCGAGGGGATGGTGCCTCCATCCTCACACGCAGCAGACACCAGCCATAAGCTGTGAAACGGTTAGTCCAGTGGGCAGGCAGCTTCATCACATATTCTTCTGAATGGTGCCAATTATTTTGTGGGCGAGAAGGCTACACATAAACAATACTTTGCCCTGCCTGCTCTGCCTCAAATGTGTAATTAAACCTTACCAGCAGCTTATCCTGTAATTGCACTTGTGACACACTCCAGTCTCTGGTGCTCATCACAGAGGTGAAGGAGCATTTGCTGTGTTGGCCAGTGCAGCTGCTTCTGGCCAATAGAGAGTGGTCCTTCTTCCTCATTTCATTGTAGTTAGAGAAATAAAATGCAGCTTGCTTCTGCCCCCTCTCCCACCAGTCCTCCCTGCCACATCACTTATGCAGAGGGAAGGACTCAGTCTGAGGGCACCAGTACTCTGATTTGTGATGTGTTTCTTCAATCAAAGTGCCCAGCCCCACAAACTGCTGCAGGAATCAGGGCGATGCTCAGCTGTGGTACCAGGAGACCCAGCCTCCTTGCTACAGATGTGATGGTGTTATAGCAGACATGTTTCTTTCACTGTCTCTTCCTCATAAAATTTTGCAAGTCGAGAAAGCCATGAAATGCACAGGTCACAAAATGCATCTTTCAGCAGCACGAAGCTTGGGCATGTTTTACTCCTCTGTGGAGCATTTCTTGACAGATATCTTGTACTTGCTGGGAGCATCTGGTCCAGCCATCAACTGACACCAGGGCCTGTCCTGAATGGGCTTCTGAGCAAAGGCAGGCCCTACTTTGAAACTGATGGATGGATCTGGGTGGTTTTCCTGCTGGTGATTTTCTCCTCCAAGGAGCAGGCAGTGTTAGTGCTGGGAGTAATGGTACCAGTTACAGTAAAA